TAATTATATAAAATATCAAAAAAAAAAATTATGTAATATGCTTTTATCTTATTCGAGTTGGAAAGTTAGGTTTGGATGTTATAAACTAAAACAAACAGCAGATTGGGCCATGATTTCACCACCGGAGGGCAGCATGAGTCCAGCCCACACTCGACTGCTCAGAGCGCAAACACTTGTCTGCTCTCTGTAATGCACTCACACCTGTATTTTCTGACTAGTGGTGACCTGTGGCCTTCTCTATTAGTTGCTTGTATAACTGGTATCCTAGGGGCAACCTGATCTACCAGTGAAAACTAAATTCACTTCATGACATCTGGGAAATTCCTCCATCCATTTTTATCTGTTTTGTCCCAATATAAAAATGTTTTCCTTATGTATTTAAAGGTCTTTCACAACCTCATGGGTTTTGTGTTTGTGAAAATAAATTACTGCTAAAAGAGTAAACAGTGCCCACAGAATGTTTCTTTTTTATACTAGTGGACATTTTAAAGAATTCAAATGGATTTGGAGAACTGAATGTAAAATGATGCAGAGGACATGAATATTTGCATAAAAAAACATGGAATCTGTTTGAATATTTCACTCAGTGGACACATTGAAGAGCTGCTACAACATGAGAAGAGGTCTGATGAGCCAGGACCGGTGTGAAGACCTGTATGGGTGGAACACAGGCATAGGGACTTTTTTTGTTTTATAACAGGAAAGCGTTTATGTTTGAATTAATTTTAATGTCTGCTGTGTGCAGGTGAAGGAGGTGGATCAAAGCGGTGTGTGGTTTGAAGATGGGATGAAGCTGGAGGCCATTGACCCTCTGAACCTGTCTGCCATCTGTGTGGCAACAGTCAAGAAGGTGAGGACCAGGGCGGAGGTCAAAATGAACTGCTGTGAGTTCCAAGTGGTAACTTACCTGACACCCACAGCGCTGTTTGTACTTTCTCATTCCCCTGTCTCTCCTCCACTCTTCTGCCATCCTGTGTTTCTACCAAAACTTCCTCAATCTTTCCTCCATTTATTCTTGTTAATCTTCTTTTTTTCTGTCCATATTCAAACCTTTGCTCCACTTTTTCTCCTTCTTTCCTGTCTGTCCCTATCTTACTTCCATCCTAATGCATTCTCTCCTGCATCCTTCTTACATTTCTCTACCTTCCTTACTCCATCTGTCCTCCATCATTCTTCGCTCTATCATGTCTGTCTTCCATCCTTCTTCTGCCCCTTCTTCATCCTTCCTCCTGTCTCCTTCTATCATCCTTCCTTCATCTCTGATCTTTCCTAAATCCTTTCTTTGTCCTTTCTCCATCCTTCCTCCTTCCTACCGTTCCTCCCTCCCTCTCTCCTTCTCTTCCTCATCCTTCTTCAGGTCCTAGCTGACGGATATCTGATGATCGGCATTGATGGTTCAGAGGCAGCTGACGGATCAGACTGGTTTTGTTATCACTCCACCTCTCCTTCCATCTTCCCCGCTGGCTTCTGTGAGATCAACAACATTGAGTTGACTCCCCCAAGAGGTACAGCACATCATACAGCTGTGACCCCACCTTCACAAGTCTAAAAATAAATACATTTATTAAAGGTACTGTTGTTGACACAGCAGCATGTGTTCTTTTTTTTATATTAGGTCTCTAACAAGGTCTTTATGAATTTCTTCTTCTATGTTCCCTCCTTCATTCTGTCTCTCAGGCTACACTAATCTTCCCTTCAAATGGTTTGAGTATCTGAAGGAGAACAAGTCTCTGGCTGCTCCAGTCAACCTCTTCAACAAGGTGAGACCAAACACTGGGGTTGAAACGGTTAATTGGTTCACATAAAATTAATGAATCAGTTAGGTTTATCAAGTCATTCTAACACAAACCTCTGATGGTTGCAGTTTCTGCTTTTCTATAAAATTATAAACTGAATAATTCTGGTTTCTGGACCAGCGGTCAAGCAACACAAGATTTTGAAGATGTGTAACTGTGCTTTAATGTCTTTTCCACATTTTGTGTGGCATAGACTAGTGTTTGATTGTCAAAATAATAATCAGATTAATCAGTAATTAAAATTACTGTTAGTTTCTGCCCTACAAACACACACAGGAAAATCAGTAGTCTGCACGTTTAATGAACAGTTGGGTGCTGGTCAGACATACAGTATACAGTGCCTTGCGAAAGTATTCAGCCCCCTTGAACTTTGCGACCTTTTGCCACATTTCAGGCTTCAAACATAAAGATATAAAACT